TTTTCTAACCTCTGTTTTGAAGCAACCAGTGCTTGCTTGTAATTTTTCCCAGTACTACATTCTGTGTTTGGCCAGTTCTCCCTCTAGTGGTAAATTTGTGCAATCCTCTCACAGCTTGTAAAAGCCTATGCTTTAGATTCGTGGCATTCAAAATGTTGACAGCTATTTATAAAACAATATATTTTGTATTTCCATATTTCTTCATAAATATATGTATATATGTGTGTATACATATCTATACAACACTAAAATTAGAATTTTACCAAACAGTATTTACCAACATTGTGCAATATATGGTAGAATTTTCTTGTACATTTTCCTTTCACTTAGGAAAATATATGATTTATTATTCACTAAATTGATTTAATGACTTCTGAACCATAAATTTTAACCCATACTTATTAAAAACAGTACTTTGGGCTATTGTTAAAACTCAGTTAAACTAGTGAGCTACTAATAGGTATTTCTGTTAAATAGAGATACAGAAAAATGCACACAAAAAAACCCTGTAACCATACACCTGATGAATTTCAAACCATATCACTTTCTTTTATTTCATAAATTTGCACAGAAAGACGTGGAAAGACCCTGCAGCAGAGGAAACTCTTTGGCTTTGCATAACTTAGTGTTGAATTTAGTCATGCAAGAAATATTTCCATACACACCCATACATACACAAATTACATAACACATATGTCCTGTTTTGTCCAAAATAATCCCATTCAAAGGAATCAAATACCTATGAATTAACATAGCAAAAGAGGTGAAAAACATATATGATGTTGTTATTTTTTTAATTTTATTTTTATATTCCCTATACAATTGCAACCCCCTTATTTTGATCCCAATCCCTCCTTTCCCCACCCTCCCCATAGTGTGTCTCTGGTTCATAGTTGTTTGTTGATTTTGATTTTTTCTTTCTTATAGTTATTCTTTTTCCTGGTCCCTTATTTAGGTTTTCTAGATTCCTGCTATGAGTGAGACCATCTGGTATTTTTCTTTTTCTTTCTGGCTTATTTCGCTGAGCACGATCCCTTCCAGCTCCATCCATGTTGCTGCAAATTGCATGTGTTTATCTTTTTTGGGAATATTGCTGAGTAATATTCCATTGTGTATATGTACCACATCTTGATCCAGCCATCTATTTTTGGGTATTTGGGTTGTTTCCAAAGCTTAGCTATCGTAAATAGTGCTGCTATAAACATAGGGGTGCAGGTGCTCTTTGGAATTAATGATTCTGTGTCCTTTGGGTAAATACCTAGGAGTGGAATTGCTGGATCATATGGAAGCTCTATCTTTAGTAGGTTGAGGAATCTCCACACAGCTTTCCATAGCGGTTGGACCAGTTTGCACTCCCACCAGCAGTGCAGGAGAGTTACTTCACCACATCCTCGCCAACATTTGTTGTTGCTAGTTTTTTTAATATGTGCCATTCTCACTGGTGTAAGATGGTATATCATTGCATATACAATGTTATTAAATATTAAAGGATGTAGATCAGGACATAAGGACAAAGACATTCCATATAAATGGGGAGAATCAATATAGTCAAAATGACCTTTCTGCTAAAAGTGATGTGTAAATTTAATGCAATCTCCATTAAAATACTAATACTATTTCTCAAATAAATTGAATAAAAAGTATTAAAATATATATAAAAGACCTGGAATAGAAAAAACAATCCTGAAAAAAGTGAAATGGAGGTATCATTTTACCAAACTTTAAACTATACAATAAAGCTACGGTAATTAAGACAATATGGCATTGTAATAAAAATAGATACATGAATCAATGGAAAAGAATCAGAAGCATCCAGATAAACCCATGTATATATCATACTAATTTCATGTCAAATGAGTCAAGCCCAAACAATGGGGAAAGGAGACTTTCTTTAACAAACTGTGCTGGGGAAACTGGATAATAAAATGTGAAGACATGAAGTTGGATTACTCTCTGATTGCATGCACAAAAATATATTCAGTGTGGACTAAATATATATTCAGGGTGTAAACCAATGTTACCACAATCAAGAAAAAAAATAATACAATACAAAAAGGGTACAGTCTGGATGGCAAGCAAAAGCATTAAACCAAAAGAAAAAAATGGCCTTGCTATGAGGCCTGACATAATTAAAAGATAGAGAAAAACATTGGCAATACACTTCGTGACATCAATGATAAAGATTTTTCTGGAGATTAGACCCTATAGCAAGTGAATTAAAAGCAAAAATTAGCAGGGTTCCCTGGTGGCGCAAGGACTTAAGCACATTGAAGTAATCCACAGTCTCTGCAGCAGGTGTTCAATCTGCGGCTGGCCAGGGAGCAACCCACATGGCACAGCAGACCTCTCCTGACTCGCCCACCACTCCCCTCAGCAGTATATTTCAGTCAGTCTGCCTGTTCTGTTCCCCATGCTGTCTCTGGTGAATCCTCTCCTAAAATCTCTGTCCTGTACACCAGCTCTTGTATGCATAAATAAATCTTTTTTTTTTTAAAGCAAAAGTTAGCAATTGGGATAACCCCAAATTAAAAAACCCTTTATACAGCAAAAGCAAATAATAGTAGAATAGATATCTTACTGAAGGCAGAAAATATTCAAAATTACACAATACATAAGATATACAAAAAACTTACTGAATTTAATCATAAATTAGCAACCCAATTAATCAACGGACAGCAGACTTGAACTGACAACCTACTAATGAGGATATCCAGAAGGCCAATAGATACATAGAAAATGTTCATCACCACTTTCATTAAGGAAGATGCAAGTCAAAATCAAAATATATTATCTCACACCTGTAAGGAGGGCACATATTAAAAAGACCTCCAACAACAAGTACTGGAGAGGAACCCTATTACATTATTGGTGAGAATGTAAACTAGTGATCTAGATTTACCTTAACAAGCAAAAATGGAATACTGTACAATACAGCAATTCTACTTTTGGGCATCTGTTGGAAGAATACCATACTGTCAACTGAAAATTTATATATGCTACGATGTTTATTACAGCATTATTTACAACAGCTAGGACATAGAAATAATGTAAGTACTCACTGATCAAGATGCATGCATCCACACAATGAAACATTATTCAGTCATATGGAAAGGCAAAATGCTGTCTTTACTGCAAAATGAGGTTTTGAAGGAATTATACAAAACAAGTCATAACAACAAATATTGGACATTAACATGCCAAGAATTCATCAGAGCAAAATACCCCAAACTAATCAACATTAATAATGGTTTCTGAGGTTATAAAAGGAGAGCAGGGAGAAAAGGTCAATGGTTAAAAGGGGTCATGATGGGAAAGAAAAAGAAAACCATATCTATATTTATAGTAGTAATTTTATGGCAGATTGCTCAAAAATCACTTTTGATATTTTCCTTAGCTATCCAGTCCCATAGTATATCCTAAACCATGTATATCAGAATTTGTGCCGGAGGTACCTTCATTCCCTTAAGTTTTTTCAGAAAAAGTTATCAGAGCACGAGTGATGAAAATTCAGACTTCACCTGTTTCTGTGGTAAAGCTGGCCTATTAACTGGAAAGAGGCAACATCTGTGGCAATTCCCAGCCTTTGCTGGAAGTCTCCTCCCATGGCGGAAATGTCCTTGAATCCACACCAGGCCTTCTCCAAAACCCCTGTCCTGGCTCCACATCCTGTTACTCATTTCACTGCCCCTCCCTCAAGTCTTTCTATAAAAACCCAGGCTTCTCTGACTTAACAAAGCAAAGCACATCCGATAAGAAAGGTAAGTAGGAACCAAGAGAAGATGGAAGCCATGCTGGAGGCTTTTCTCCACACATTTGAGGGAAGGTACAGGGAAGATATAGGAGGGTGCCTGTCCTCGGAGAATAGAGGAGCTCTGAGACTCAGCAAAGGTGGTCCTGGGAGGTCCCAGGGGTGGTAGAGTATGTGTATTATATTTCTGTATCTTTTTTAAAAAGATTTATTTATTTGTTTATTTATGCATACTAGAGCTGGGGTACAGACAAGAGATTGTGGGGGGGTGAGAGGATTTACCAGAGACAGAGTAGGAGCAGAACAGGTAGACTGACTGGAATACACTGCTGAGGGGAGCAGCGGGCGAGTCAGGAGAGGTCTGCTGCGCCATGTGGGTTGCTCCCTGTCTGGCTGGGGATCGAACTCATGCTGCAGAGGTTGCGGATTGCTTCATAGTGTTGTGCTTAACCCCTTGTGGCACCAGGGAGGCCCCTATTTCTGAATCTTTTCCAGAACTATAGAAGGGATAGATGTCACCTCTGGTTCTAGGAGACTAGACGAAGGAAAAGAGGTAGGGGAGCAGAGTCTGCATGCCCTCTCTCTGACCACATTTCTTTTAGTGTTGCTGATTGCCTCTTCAAGTCACAGACAGGATGCTCTCTCCCATGGCCCTCCCCAGGGTGTCCTGGATGCTGCTCTCCTGTGTGATGCTCCTTTCTCAGGTCCAAGGTGAAATTTCTTTGCCTCTAGCATTGGGTTCCCAGTGAATGGTTAGGGCCAAGGAATAGAAAAGCAGACTCTTCTGTGACACAAGTGGTATTGGGGAGGTCCATCTCCCTACAAGAAATTGCCTGCAATTCCTCCATAGCCTCCTTCCTTCAGTGTAACTAATAGTGTGGACACTAGAATGAGTAGTGGACCATTGGAATGAGATGATTTGCCATTTTCTGTCAGTGTTGGCAGGAGGAAGTGGGAAATCAAGAAGGGTCAGTAATGAGACATGGTGAAAGAGATTGCTTGCAACCCATGTGGAAACTCTCTGACCACAATGGTGAAAGGTAGAAATTTTGAAAAGGGAGACAGGTATGAAAGAAAGAGATGGTCTCGTTTATTGGAGTTGGTTCAGATCAAGGAATTCTAAAAGTAATGGCAATTGTTTGGTATCACTTTCCCAAGCCATGGCGTCATAGATGCCCCTGAAGGTCACTTCCCATCCAAATCCCCACTCATCCTTGCACTCCATCTCTATTCTTTATTTGTTCCACCTCAGCTGAAGACTTGCAGGAGAAAGAGCCCTCTTCACGGCACAACTGTCCTGCAGGCTCAATGGGTTTTTCCTCTTACTGCTATACCTTGCACAGGCAAGAAGTAACTTGGATGGAAGCAGAAGTGAGTAGTAGGATTTTTCAATGAGTTTATTTTTAGGGGGAAATTCATTGGAGACTGGGGAAAGGTCTTCTGGAGATGAGAGTGAGTAACCTCATCATCTGTACACATACCTCTTCTCACCTCCCTCTGCTTTACATTTCTCTAGAGATTTCTGAAACTCCTTCTCATATCTTGCTTCCCACACAGATATACTGTCAGACTCAACATTTAGGACACCTCACGTCTGTGCTCAGTGGAACTGAGGCATCCTTTGTGGCCACTATGATTAAGACCAGTGGGATTAGAAAACCTTACATCTGGATTGGGCTTCATGATCCCACAGAGGTACAATTGTATCTTCTCTCTGATATCTCCCGAGATCTATTGCCATCCAGGCCATTGTCATTTACCTTGCCTAACCAGGAAATTCCATCTCTGTAGCTCAGAGATGAGGGGGCTATTTGAGGGAAAGGAAGACTGAGGCCTACTGTGAGTTGGTGGTAGTCCCTCATCTCAAATTGATTTTAATCTGACTCATGTCAAATGTTTGTGCAATTCATATAAGAACTGTGTGTAAATTTAGTTCTGTCTTGAGGACATCAAAAAATAAAGATAATGTGCACTTTTCTCCTATATAACAGACATGGTGTTTGGGCTTCAGAAGGTAATCACCAATGCACCAGCCAGTACCATGTTCCTCTGAGTGGTCTACTGGTCTTTGTGGAATTAGGGAGAGTTTCTCAGGGGACAGTTCTGATGAAGCATCTGTAAGCTCAGACCAAAATCTAAGGCTGGGAGGAGATCTGGTGACCAGAGAGGGAATCACAAAACTAGAACTCTAATGGCTATTCAACCTCACCTGGCTCCATCCTCTACTCCACAGGGTCAGCAACCCAATAGAGGTGGATGGAGGTGGATTAACAATGATGTGCTGCATTACCATGCCTGGGAGGCAAATCCCCCCCCATGTGCATATAATGGCTATTGTGCCACTGTCTCAGAAAACACAGGTAAGAAACTGAAGAATTCCCCTCTGTCTCGCCATTTCTGTCCTCTCATCCCCTATATGTGAGCCTTCCTTCTGGAGTCCTCCCAACGTAGATAGTGCTCTGTTCTTTTCTCTTCTCCTATGCCATCTCTTCTCGCTTTTCTTTGAGTCTTTTTCTCCTGGAGTAGGATACCAGTGAAGATGAGGGAGAGGCTTTGAATCTGAAGTTGGAATCTCAGATGCCTCTCCACTAGGCTCCCAGACTCCAGCAGACCATTCACTTCAGTTCTTCTGTCCCTCTAGGTTATCAGCAATGGAAAGATTATGCTTGTAATCAGAAGTTACCCTTTGTTTGCCGGTTCAAGGCCTAGGTTGGTGCAAAGTCAAGTGACTGAGCCTGATATGCAGCTCTTGATGGACATGGAACCATGTTTGAAGGCCTTCCCTGGAGGGAATATTCTCCTCACACTTAAACCTGACCTTGTCATTCTGAACTTCCATCCTTCCGGCTTCAATTCAGGCTTTTTTTTTTTTCCACTTTGGTGTATTCTATGGCCTAAGGTCTCAAAAAGTAGTAATAAATATTTTAGTCCAACTTGCATTCTTCTGTGCTCTGTTCTCATTGCAAAACTGAGGAAGAACTCTGTGTGAATTGAAATCTAGATCATATCTCTGTCCAGTTTAATCAGGGCCCAGGGGAAATGATTAAATGTACCTCCCCACCCATGTATCTGGGGTTGGTGTGTTTAAGCCCTATTACATGGGATTTGTGTTGAGTACAGAGAATGACATTACTTTTTCACACAATCTATAGTGCATTTCTGCTGATTTGACAAAAACAAACTTAGTGGGGTCCGATGTTTGCAGAATAGCACTTTTAAAACCATTTACTGAGAATTATCAGTTTTGTGTGTGTGTGATTTCAATCCTCCTTGGAAAGTGACTTTTATAAAATATAGTAAGAAATTAACTATTTGGACTTTTGGTTATAGTGCTCACATGTAGAGCATTGGTGGCATTACTCTCATCCTTAAAACAAGAAAAAACATTCTGAACAGTTTGAAAGCCAATAGCTTTTCTTTCTTTTAAAGATTTATTTATTTATTTATTTATGCAAGCACTGGGTACAGTCAGAGGCACGGGAGGGTGAGAGAATTCACCAGAGCCAGAGCAGAGAGTAGAACAGGTAGACTGATGAAGTACACTGCTGAGGGGAGCAGCAGGCGGCAGGAGAGGTCTGTGCACCATGTGGGACCCTCGCCCAGTGGCTGGGGATCAAACCAGCGCTGCAGAGGCTGCGGGCAGCTTTGCAACCCAGCACTCAACTGCTGTGCCACCGGGGAGGCCCAATAGCTTTTCTTTTAAAAAAAAAGTATCTATGGGGGTCTCCCCGGCAGTGCAGTGCATTGAGAGCAGTGCTGTGAAGCTGTCCACAGCCTCTGCAGCACGGTGAAGATGAGGGAGAGGCTTTGAATCTGAAGGTGTGATTCCTGGCCGGCCAGGGAGATACCGACATGGCGCAGCAGACCTCTCCTGTTGTGCTCGCTGCACTCCTCAGCAGTGTATTTCGATCAGTCTGCCTGTTCTGCTCCGCACTCTGTCTCTGATGAATCCTCTCACCCTTCCATGCCTCTTGCCTGTACCCCAGCTCTTGTATAAAAATAAATAAATCTTAAAAAAAAGACATAGGATGATATTTAAAAAAAAAAATCTATGCATACAAGAACTGGGGTGTAGGCCAGAGTTGAGGGGGTGAGAGGATTCACCAGAGGGAGTGGGGAGCAGGACAGGTGGATCTACTGAAATACACTGTTGAGGGGAGAAGTGGGGGAGACAAGAGAGCTCTGCTACGCCATATGGGTCAGCTCCATGGCCAGGGATCAAACTCATGCCGCTGGTGCTGGTGATAGTTTAATAGTGCTGAGACTTAACCCTTTGCGCCACCATGGAGGCCCACCAATAGCTTTTCTTAGACTCATCTTTATGATAGCTGCAGAGGCTCCAGAATACATATATCCCATCTGATTTCTGGTTACTTGGAGCAGGAGCTGCTAAGAACATTGAATTATAATTTTGAGAAATCTCTGTGTCTGGTTTAAGGGTGGCAATCTCAAAGGTCTTTGGGTAGCAATCTCAAAGGTCTTCACACTTTTTTTTAAAGATTTATTTATGCATACAAGAACTGGGGTACAGGCCAGATGTGTGGGGAGTGACAGAATTCACCAGAGACAGAGTGGGGAACAGAACAGGCAGATCTTCTGAAATATAATGCTGAGGGGAGCAGAGGGTGGGTCAGGAGAGGTCTGCTTAGCCATGTGTGTTGCTCCTGGCCAGCTGGGGGATTTGAACTTGTGCTGCAGAGGCTACAGATCACTTCATAGTGTGGTCTTTTCACTTTCTTGGGTTTTGCCTTCTTCATTCCCCACCAGATACTTTGGTGTGAAAAAAAATAACCATTTTGAAGTCTGTCCAAAGACACCACAAGAGTGGCAATTAATAGTATAATCAGATCCCTGAATACTTGAATGCAAAAAGCTCAACAAAATATTAGCAAACCAAATTCAATAGAACATTAAAAATATACACCATGATGAAGTTGGGATTTACCTATGAGATGCAAATATGGGTCAACATATACAAATAAATTAAAAGGCCACACCACATTAATACGATAAAGAACAAATGTGCATGGCCATCTCAATAGATGCATAAAAATTCACAGAATCTTGGTACCACATAAAGTTTATAGTCTATAGTAAGGTATTATACTCTTAAAAACTGTGAAAATACAAAAAAAGGGATACAAGGAAACTGTCAGTAATGGATTAGTTATTACCTTGGATGTGTTGATGGCAACACATATGTATGTCTCATTCATCAAATTGTGTACATTATGTACCTTTTGTATACAGATTATTTTTCAATGAAGATGTGAAAAAAATGGAGGAGAATACCCAGGAGCTGTAGGATCAGTTGGTGTCCAAATGTTGGTTTTAATATCATTCTCCAATTAAAGGAAGAGCTTCTACAGGAGTACTTGAATCAAGACTGATATGACAAATATATAAAATGATCCAGAAGAATTTATGTTTCCAGAAAGTAAGGAAGTGACTATAAAAATAAAAGCATGTTGCTGGGATTGTGTCAATGGGACACAGGAGCCAACTGAAAGATGTGCCAATGGCCAGAGCTGGAAATAATTGAGAAACAAAATAAATAATGTTGGATTGCAACCAATAGTATCAATAGTAAATAATTATGAGTTAGTAGCGATATAAATAAAAAAATTGTAAAAGACAAATCTCTTATGAAGGAAAATGTCAAAAAATTTAATGTGAATCCTCCACCTTCAACGATGGAAAACAGAAATTCCCACATTTTAAATATGGGTTGTACACAGTGACTTCTTTTCAAAGATAAAACTAGAAAAGCAGTGTGTAGGGGGGCCTTGAAAAGAGGTGAGGAGGGAGGAATAATTTAACAGTGAGGAATAAAATAATATTACACCAAATCCCTGGTCAATGCTTTGCAAAACTGTCAAGTTTATCAAGCAAGAGGGAAGTATAGAGAATACTGGGTAAAAACTAAGGAAATCGGAAAATTTTGGGTTTTAATGAGTAATAATTTATCAATGTGATTCATTAGTCAAAACAAGTACTATACTAATGTAAGATTTATAACATATTGATTATAGGGAAACGGAATATAAGGCATATGTTACCATTGCAATAATTCTATAAGTCTAAAAAGGTCTAAATATTCAAGTCTGTTTAAAAAATAGATTACCAAAAATATAAAAAAAGGTATTCCAAGTTCATTTTAAAAGTTTTAGATTTTAGGGCCTCCTGGTGGCGCAGGCGGTTGAGCGCCGTGCTGTGAAGCTGTCCGCGGCCTCTGCAGCGCGTGCTTGATCTGGCCAGCCGGTGAGGGTCCCACATGGTGCCACAAACCTCTCCTGTCGCGCCTGCTGCTCCCCTCCGCAGTGTATTTCGTCAGTCTGCCTGTTCTGTTCCTTACTCTGTCTCTGGTGGGTCCTCTCATCTCCCACACATCTGGCCTGTACCCCGGTTCTTGTATAAATAAATATTAAAAAAAAGTTTTAGATTTTAAAAATTGTCTGTCAAATTACTGTAAGATTTTCTAGGATCTCCCCTGGTGGTGCAGCGGTTGAGCGCTGGGCTGCGAAGCTGCCGGCAGCCTCTGCGCGGGTTGGATCTCCGGCCACTGGGTGAGGGTCCCACATGGCGGGGCAGAAGTCTCCTGCCACGCCGGCTACTCCCCTCAGAAGTGTGTTTCATCAGTCTGCCTGTTCTGTTCCCAGCTCTGGCTCTGGTGAATCCTCTCACCCTTCTGTGCTTCTGACTGTACCCAGTGCTTGTATAAATAAATAAATAAATAAATAATAATAATAATAATAATAAAAAGATTTTCTAAACTCCTACTCTCAATTTCTGTATTACTCTCCCCATAGATGGACAATAAACATCTGAGAATCAGCACCTATCATGGACCACAAAATTACTTTATTATCCCTACAGATGCTGAATGGAAATATTTTCTTTAGACTTGCAAGTAAAGGTCCCAGTGGGATTTCTGACACATGTCCTAAGAATAATCTGGACTCAGCCAGGCCAAGACCTGGGAAAACTTAGTATCAGGTAAATATTCCACTAAACTTTCATAAAGGAATAAATGTTTTTTAATTAATTAAAGTTTTGCCTTACTTGAATAAAAGTATTTATGTGAAAAGCAAAACTTATGTGAGTGAAGAAAGATGAGCTTTTAAATAAATGTAAATATTTTTATACCATTGTACTTGTTTCTGTCATCACCTTCTATAATAAATAAGTAATAAGAGATAAATGAACAATATCTACTTGTCCTAACTAATGTTTTGCAAGTTTGCTGTACCCTTTCTAAGATAAGATGCCTATCTTCAAAGAGAGAGAAACACCAGTTGCAACAGAAACTTAACAAAAAGCTTATTTAGTCCTCTTGACAAAGAATTCTTTTTCTATTATTACCTGTCACAGCTATGGTGTATTTTTTATTTTTTCTCTAAAAGTTGTTGTATAGATTAAAAAGAGATTTTTCATGTTAGTTTACTAATCTGAAAATCTCTCTTGACCTAATATTTTCTTTGTGAGATTTTTATTTTTATTTCAACTTATTATTTTTAAATTTTGACTTATTGAGTTAATATTGATTTCCTAGAGCCTCCCCGGTGGTGCAGCGGTTGAGAGCTGGGTTGCAAAGCAGCTTGCAGCCTCTGCAGCGCAGGTTTGATCCCCGGCCACCAGGCGAGGGTCCTACATGGCGCGCAGACCTCTCCTGCCACCCGCTGCTCCCCTCAGCAGTGTACTTTGTCACTCTGCCTGCTCTGCTCTCCACTCTGGCTCTGGTGAATTCTCTCACCCTCCCGCACTTCTGACTGTACCCAGTGCTTGTACAAACAAATAAATAAATAAACAATCTTAAAAAAAAAATGTTGATTTCCTACACTGTAGACTCACACCTGTGAAAGTGTAGATCCTCTGACAGAATCCACCACCAAAAGCATCAATAATCTTCCAGCATAATCGATCAGCCCCCCTCCCCAATTTGATCCTATCTTTCACCCTCCTAGTAGCCTCAGTTGTACTGTCAGGTGTAAAGGGTTTGTTTTGTCTTTTGAGGTGTTTTTTTCTCTTCACATAATAATATGCTCCAGTTCCATCTGTGTTGTTGCAAATGGCAGGATTTCTTTTTTTTTTTTATTGACTGATTAGTACAGATTTTAAAATATAGATAAAATTTCCTTAATATTAATAGCAGAGACTTCAAGACTTTCACTTTAATTCCATACATACAAGTACCAGATATTTATGAGGGGTTTCAGCATCAAAGGTAAACGAAAGAATATATATTATCCTGCAGAAGGATAAGATTTGGGGCTTTGGACTTCAAAGGGGAAAGATTATAATCCACATGCTATAAAGAGAACTGTATGTTCAGTAGCTAGATGTTGGCCCTCTCATACACATCAGTCATCAAGTCATTTCTGGTAACACTAAGCAAGGGCCCCCCTATTTAAATTCTTCTAGGCGGTGAAGATAGAGGCAATCCATGGGATCTTGATTGCCTTCAGCTCATGATAATTCACATGCCAAAGAGACTCTTTTTGGGAAGGCCTGTTTGAATCCCTTAGGTAGTCAGCTCTGAAGTCCTGGATTTTCTAAAGTTTTTACTTCCTTGTACCTTACACATTTACTGTTATTTTATTTTTATTTATTTTAATGTGGTCATATTTAGCAATATCTTACAGCATTTTTTTTTTCTGTTTAAGAACTGTATTTCTAACTCCAATGAAAAAGCAAATGTTTTAGTATTCTCTTCTATATATTAGAAGACAAAATACATTTCTTTAATGCAGAGGAGACCAGTTGCTATTTTGTTTTCATGTTCTAAGGGGTAGGGATTCAATTTAAATTTTTGTTTAATTATATAGTCAATACACTAAATCATTCAGCCCATCCTTTCTACTGCTCAGCAAAGATTTGCCACAATTCCAGTAGCCAAGTATCACTCTTGCTGGACTCTCTTCTGTTATATTGATAAAGTTTTCTATCTCTGCACCCATGTTACTTTATAACAAGAAGTTTTGATGATTGGTGAAACAAAATCTTCACTCCCTGTTTTTCTTCAGAAATATCTTAATAACACTGAACACTTTGTCTCTTCTATGACTTTTTATATTAGTTTATCAAATTATCTGGAAGATCCTGTTGAAATTCAGATTCATCAGCATATTGAGAAGGAATGCGTTTAGGGTATGGAGACTTTTAATAAACATGATAGGTCTCTCCAAATATACATATCTTCTTGTTCAATTTTTTTATGTCCTGTTGACTATATTTTATCAGATATACATTCATATCTATTATATATAAAATATTGCTATTAACTTTATATTTTTTCCTATTATAATGGTGTATTTTTTAAATTTTATTTATTTATACAAGCACTGGGTACAGTCAGAAGCACGGGAGGGTGAGAGAATTCACCAGAGCCAGAGTGGGGAACAGAACAGGCAGACCGACGAAATACACTGCTGAGGGGAGCAGTGGGCGGCAGGAGAGGTCTGCACGCCACGTGGGACCCTCACTGGTGGCCGGGGATCAAACCAGCGCTGCAGCAGAGTCTGCGGGCAGCTTCGCAGCCCAGCGCTCAACACCTGCGCCACCAGGGGAGGCCCTATAATGGTGTATTTTTTAAAGTTAACTTTCTCTGTTACTGGGATAAAAATTCCTTTGGGACATTTATGTTGATCTCATATTCTTTTGTTTGAAAATTTTCCCATTGATTTTGACAATTGTCTTTAAAAGTTCTCTGGGGGTTTCCACAGAAAAAAATATATATGCAAGTGGAATAATTTCAAATATTTTACTTCATGCTTACTTTTTATTTTTTTTTAAGTATACTTCCTCTGTCATGCTGTTGTTGAATAGAATCAGTGGATGTAGGAAATTTTTATCATCCTGTTTCATAAAGAAATGTCTTCTTTGTTTTACCCACTTTTGAGCCTATGTAGGTACCGTTTTCATACTGAGGAATTCCTATCTATACATATTTTCTCAAGAAGTTTTCTTGCCTACTAGTGGGTCAAGAATTTCACCAAATTACTACTTCCAAGATGGTCATGAATTTATTCTCCTTTAAATTTTCTCTGAGGATACAGTTAAAGTGATGATTTCTCATTATAACTCTTCTTGCATTTCTGAGTTCACCTCTTCTTTCTCTTCATTGATTCTATGCATCAATGAATTTGTTTAGTATTTTGTTAAGGAATATTACATTATGGCCTTAAGTCACTTTAAACTTAAAATATCTTTTAAATTGATACTCATCAATTTTTCCTTTGCAAAACATTTTAAGATAAACAATCAAGCAAACCCAAAGACAATAATATGATAAACCCCTATAATCTATCCCCAAGCAAAGTCAGTTACCATGTCGTGGCTTCTTTTTTCATCTATATTCATTTCTTTACCCCTATCACCATGGATAGATAAGTTGGAAATAATACCAAAAACATACTTTTTTTGAAAAAATTCATTATATATTTTTAAATGATAAGAACAACTTAAAGAATATAATAGCAATACCACAATCACACAAATAGAGAATCTCCTATTTCAAATGCTCATGTTTAGTGAAATCTCTCATAAAGATCTAAATATCATCCATATTTTGCATTTTACAGATAAATCTCTTTAATGCTGAGAGTGTCATGTGGCTTTATTTCCTTAAATTCATTTGGAGAGGAAATAGTCATTGATTTTGTACCATTCTCATTTCTAGACTGCTGTTGTATATTCACTTGTAACATGAAGTCTGCCCATCCTCTGTCTTCCTGGAAACTGGTAGCTCAATATTAATCAGAAGTTCTAAAAATGTTCTGAGCAGGACAGACATTTTGTGGTCTGAGAAATATAAAAATATACACAATATCTATATGTGACTTGTTGCTATTTATAATGATACACATTGAAAAGGATATAAAAATAGTTCTTCATTTATTCACTTTGACAATTGTCAACAAAATGCCCACATGTAGATACCTTAGGATGGTACCAGTCCATTTATTAGGAATTGTGTTCCACAAAATATATTAGAATGCTGTTTACCAAAGCTCTTCCTCTGACAGCATTAACATTAGTAGGCCAGCTTCCCGTTTAGTGAGACAGAATAGTAAAATAAATGTATTCAAGGCTTGAGAATTTTAAATTTAATTAGCTGCACTGCTTCATCTAGTTCATCAAGGATGTCTTGTAAGCGAGAATGTCTTTGTTAGGTGTAACTACGGGGATGGGAGGAATACAGGTTGACGCCCTTGCTTGACGTATGCTGGGGCACAAAAGCTTGTACCCCCCATGCCTTTCATACCCATGCACAGGGCAACACAGTGTAAATAGCAAATGACATTTCACTATAGTTAAGAAAATGACAACAAATCTTTCCAGCTGAAATGACCTTGCAGACCCCACATTTATGCAGGTCACTGTGTGAGAAGGTTGCTATGCTGATCATATTGCCAGCTCAGCATTGAAATGAACTGACAAACTATGAGGTAATCTTTCCTCATCAAAGTGGAAGGAAGGCAGGTCTATCTGCTAATCCTTAAAATCCTGACTTGCCTATGGATTTATAGATTTTTCCCTCCATGCTTATAATTTGCTCTAACACTGAAGCAACACGCTTGAAACATTGCTCCTTCACTTGAGATATTACTGCAACAATTCTTTATATTCACCAATTCCTTTAGCCCCCCATTTTAAATTATTAATTTGTATTCACTTAACTGTACACCAAGTTTAAAAATCATATTCATACTTACAGACTAAGTTCTTGACAGCTTGCTAAATAAAGACATTGATATTTTCCTTAACTAGCCAAAGCCACAGAAGTTTCTAAAATATACATGAGAATTATATCTATAGAGCTGTCTTTATACTTGGAGTTTTCCAGCGTAGGGCTGAAAAAGGTGGGGGAACTTCTAATATCTTTCCTGAAACACCTGTTTCAGAAAATTATGTCCTGTTATCAGGAGAGAAACAATATTTGTCACCACACCCTGCCTTTGGCAGTAAGAGGCCCCTCCCCAGGGCAGAATTCCTTGCACCCAAGCCAAGCCCTTTCCATGAGCGCTGTCCCCATTGCGGTACTGCTTTTTGATTTGTGGTTCCTCCCTCACATCCTCTTATAAAAGCCCAGAATTTTCTGACCTGCTAAACCACTGCCTAGCCCAGACAGACTGGTAAGTGGAAGCTGAGGGGATATGAGACCCATGGCACTGGGATTTGCCTCACTCTTTGGTGGGCGGGATGGGGGTACCTGCCTCCCAGAACAAGGAACCGGGATCTCAGCAAGGGAGGACCTGGGAGGCCTGGGTGGAACAGTGTGCAGAGATATTCAGGTTCTTGAAGAACTATGGTAGGGCTGCCACTGTGAGCAGCAGGTCTCAGCGTGTCCTCTCTCTGACCAGCGCCCTTCAGAGACCAGCTGCCTCCTGGAGTCATGGACAGGGTGGTGCGCTCCGTGGCCCTACGCAGCGTGTCCTGGACGCTGCTCTCCTGCCTGATGCTCCTGGCTCAGGTCCAAGGTGAGATGACTCAGCCTCTGCATGAGCTTCCACTGGAGGCTCAGGACCAGGGAAGCAGGTAGACTCCTGATGACACCCGTGGTCACGGGGATAAGGATCTTGCACAGAGGAAGTGCTGCAACTTCCCCTGCTCACCCCTTCCTTCAGGGAAGTGGGCGGTGGGGAGGCACCGCAGGACAATGAACAGGGGGCTGGTGGGATTTCCCGTGGGGTCAGTGGACACTGGATGAGAGGTGCAGCAGACAGGACATGAAGCATCAGCAATCAGACTTGGGGAAGGGGTTGTGGGAACTGTCGGCCCTGAGTGGGAGTATATTGAGCATCTGAATTAAGAGGAAGAGTATAAAGCAAGGAGTGGGTGCCTCATCTGAGAGCGGTTCAAGGTCAAGCATTGTTGGAAATGCTGGCAATGGTGAAAGGTTGTCAACAATTTGGTGTTGCTTTCTCAAGTTTTGGCTCCATAGATGTTCCTCAAGGTGTTTCCCACCCAAACCCCCACTCCTCACACTCCATCTCTCTTGATTGATCATTTTCCACTCCAGGTGCAGCCGTGCAGCAGGCACAAGATTCTCCATGGAGCGGCTGTCCTAGTGGCTCTGTGTACTATTCCTCCTACTGCTATACCTTTTTTCCACGAGGCAAAACCTGGATGGATGCATATGTGAGTGGGAGCATTTGTATTTAAGGACTTATATCTTCACCCAGGGCAGGGGTCCTCCTTTTCCCCAGAGTTTCTCGGGTGACATGAGCATCCCCTACTTTCTCATAAAATGACTCCCTCACCTCCCTCAGCCCTGCTCCTCATTCACTGACCTCTCAAGCTCCACCTCTTATGTCCTCCCTCACAGTTTGACTGCAGCAGAAGACCCGCTGGGCACCTTGTGACTGTCCACTCCGGACATGAGGGTTCACTTGTGTCCTTCCTGATCAAGAGCACTACAAATAGCTACAGTCATGTCTGGATTGGACTCCATGACCCCACAGAGGTGCGATGACTTCTGTTTCTTTCTGTTACCACTGAAGATGCTGTTGCCCTGCAGCACTCTCAATCCCCTTACCTGCCCAGGGAATAGCCTAGAGATCTTTGAACAAAATCTGGGAGATGTTTGGAAAAAGCAAAGTCTCTGAGGTAGTTGAAGAGCCATGTCTGTGGAGGTCCCTCACCTAAGCTGAAGTGCAAGTGCACCTTGTCATGTTTTTATACAATTTGCTCGAAGTTCACGTCTGTGGATTTCCAGAGTCTGCACAGACTATGCTGAGAAAATACCACATGAACTTAGGATGTATTCCAAGCTCAAGCTATGGAGCAGACACCTCTCTGCAGCTCAGGGGCTGTCAGGAATGCACTACCAATTGTTGTAACACCTGGGACATTCTGCTTGAGGGATGCCATTGTTATTTGTGGTACATGCATTGGGATTTCCCCACAGTAGCCAGAGTTTAGGGAGAACTTCCCAGGAGAAAGCTCTGCCATAAGACCTGGAAGAAAAAGCATAAATTCCTGATGCTGGAAGGAAGGGGTCAGGTTTTGCAGTGATGGACTTGAGCATGGAGAATTCTCAAGGTCATTCAGCCTCACCTGGTTTTATCCCCTACTCCTCAGGGTACTCGGCCTAATGGGGGAGGCTGGCAATGGAGCAACGGTGATATTCTGCGTTATAGCTCCTGGGAGAGATTTCCTCCCACCAGTTCATCTAGCTACTGTGGGAGTGTGTCAAGAACCTCAGGTAAGAACAAGGATGACCACTCTCTTCCCCCAAATTTTCATTCCCTCATCCCCTATTTCTGCAGTCAAATGCTCTTCCCCTGAGCTATACGCCCCCTCATCCCCTATTTCTGAAACTGACCTTTAGGGTATCTCACCCAACTGTGAGTGGCAATTTTAGTTTCCTCTCTTCCATGGCTTCTCTTCTCTCCTTTCCTTGATCTTCCTCCCCTGGAGCAATGCACTGGTGAAAATGAAGGAGAGGCTTTGAGCCTAAGCCAGAATCCAGGAGGAATTTCTAGTAAGTGACAAACTCCACCAGGCCATTTACTTGTCTCTTTTGTCTCTCCAGATTTTAAGAAATGGAGAGATATTAACTGTGAAACAGCCCTCCCCTATGTCTGCAAGTTCAAGAACTAGGTTGGAATCCATCTGCTGAGTAGGTTGTCAGCTCATCATGCACCTGGAACCAATCAGAATTCCCCCGCACCCCCGCACCTCAGGGCATATTCTCCCTGGACCCTTAGCTTGGCCCATTCCTTCTGATATTTTCTCCTCCCCAGCCTGTTTCTGCCTTGTATGTATCTGCATGCATTCTATGGCCTCAGGCCTCTGAAAGCAATAATAAACACCTTAGCGCACACTTGTTTGCTTTTGTGTTCTGTTCGCAGATTAAATCTTTGAGGGAAAGCTGTATGTGAGAGGAATTTGAGGTCTCAGGCCTGTCAGTTACATGCAACACCCCCAGGAAATGACTAAATGCACACTGCCACCCAAGTGTTTGTGGTGATGCTCTGTTCACATATGATTTGCATCTCTCACAGAGAAACATGCTGCTCTCCCACACACTCTACTTCACATTCCTGCTGATGGGGAGACCTTCATAGCCTCAGTGGAGTGTGATGTTTTTTGAGTAGCAGGTCTGAAATGATCATTTTTTGTTTGTTTTTCAATTTTTTAAAAAGATTTATTTATTTGGGCATACAAGAACTGAGGTGTAGCCCAGAGGTGTGGAGGGTGAGAGGATTCACCAGAGACAGAGTGGGGAGCTGAACAGGCAGATATACTGAAATACACTGCTGAGGGGAGCAGCAGGCAAGACAGGAGAGATCTTCTGCACCATGTGGATCACCATCCTGGCCGGGAATCAAACTCATGCTGCAGAGGCTGTGGATAGCTTCATAGTGCTACAACTTAACCCCTTGCACCACCAGAGAAGCCCCTGTTTTTGAATTTTTTAAACTCCCTTTGACTAAGACTTTATAAAATACAATAGGAAATTGCCTATTTGATGCTCATAATTAGAGCTTTGTAGTGTCACTCTCTTCCTAAAACATGAAAATATCTGATCATTTGAAAACCAACAGCATTTTCTGGGCTAATACCGCTGCTATCTGTACTGGCTCTTGATTACTTAAAGCCTCTTCCAGTATACTTCCTTACTTGGAGCAGTGCTACTTAATCACAAACCTTAGGAACACCAAAATGTATTTTTGAGTAATCACTCTTTGGAAATTAAAGCCTGAGAAATTCCTTGGGTCTTAGGGAGGTCTCCACAGTTTCATGACAATTGCCCTTTGGAACCCAACCACATTGTTATTGTGAGGGAAAACAAACATCATTTTCAAATCTGTCCAGACAAGGACACTCCAGGGGAAGAATACTACAGATGGATGCCCCTGATGTGCAAGGATACAAAATCCCAACAAGGTATTAGCAAGCCACATTCAAATTCTATTTCACACACATTTGATAAATGCACTGGTATTTGAGCCACCTATCTTCTCTCTAAAAACTCGTCTCACTCGTATTTGAGTCAGAATATGGGATTATGCCTGTTTTTTGTATGAGCTGCAAGTACCAATATTTGTGTGAGAAACTGTTATATTCAATATCTGAATTTCCGATAATTTCCTCTTCCAAACTCCCAATGGGTAGCTAAAATTTACCTTGCTTAAGCAAGAAAAAAGGATTTTTTTTAAGATTTATTTATTTATGCATACAAGAACTAGGGTACAGGCCAGAGATGCTGGGGGTAAGAGGATTCACCAGAGACAGAGTGGGGAACAGAACAGGCAGACTGACAGAAATACACTGCTGAGGGGAGCAGCGGGAGAGACAGGAGAGGTCTGCCGCGCCATGTGGGATTCTCGCCGGCAGGCGGGGATTGAACCAGCGCTGCAGAGGCTGCGGACAGCTCCACAGCACAGCGCTCAACTGCCTGCACTACTAGGGGATGCCCTCTCCTCTTTACTCTTGAGTGAGGATTTGATCACGCCCTCTTAATCTTCTCCTCTCAGTTCTGGAGGTCCTAGATAACAAAACACAGAATAAATATTCCTTGTCTGATTCATTATTCTTTAGAATTTACAACCGTGTATCATACATCATAATGTATGTTATTAAATTGGTTGGTTTTCCTTTGCTATCTCATCTGATGTAGTTTTGTCTCCTTGTCTAGCCAGAGAAGAAACCAGAGGGATGCTGGAGGATTTTGCTGTACTCCAAAACTCCCCAAGCTAGGGCAAATGGCTGGTCTCAGGAAGGACCTAAGAAAAGAAATAAGAAAGTCAGAAGGCAAGGTCAATCTCTCCTTTCTTCTCTCTTTATTTCATTGGCTTTGTTTCATTCTCGTTTAGTCCATCAGTTTACTTGCCTTTGGGGCACAAGAGTGATCAAACATGACTAACTCATTAGAATTCTTCCAAACTTTTTACTCTAGGTATTCAAAACTTTAACTCTATTCACATGAACAAATTCACTTTTAGGAGAATATCTGATTAGTTTAGTTAGATCTGGGTGTTCATTCCAGTCTATTTATTTAAGGGTTGATATTTGCAAAATCAGTTATCTTTACTGGTTTGTCAAGTTTTGTCCAGGTCATTTTTAAATGAAAACACCCTTCTTATTTCTTGCAAGTGTATGGATAGGAAGAATTCAAGTTGATGCTTCTGTTTGACTACTGCTAAGGCACCAACAATTTTACCCAAAGATCAATCAAGAGGAAAAAAAGCAAATGACTTTTTACTATAATTAGGAAGATTACAACCTTGGCCTGCTGAATTGGTTTTGATAATTCCTTGTGTGTAGATCACAATCTAAGGATACTACTATGAGTTATCAAGCTACCAGTTAAAAAATGAACAAAACTGAGAAAGTATTACTCAGTCTTCCCACACAAAGGTTGATGAAAGACAAGTTTACATATATATATATATATATATACTGTTCCTTAAAATCCTGACTTGCCTATGTATTTACAGATTTTTCCATTTTTCCTTTTCAATCTGCTAAAACATCTAATACTAGGTAGTGACTCTGAAACGTTCTTCCTTCCCTTGGTTTCAATTCTTTCTCAACCATACTTTACACTCACTAATGCTTCCAATTCCCCAAAACACCCAAGTTTTACTTGTTAATTTGGGCTTGTTTAATTGTACTAGAAAAGTATTTAAAAATTCATACTTATCCTTACAGGAGTGAGTTATTGGCAGATGCTCCAAAATACACATGTGACATTTTCCTTAACTACCCAATGCCACAATGGTTTCTAAACTATGCATATCAGAATTTGATCCACAGAGACGCCATCTTTCATTTTTTCACACACACACAAATATTTGAGCAATGGTGGGTGAAATTCAAACTTAACCTGTTCCTGGAGAAATTTTTGACTGCTAACTGGAATAAGGCAACATCTGTAGCAATTCCCAGCCTTTGCTGGAAATATTCCCCAGCCCTTGACGGGAATCTCCTGAATGCATGCCCAGCCCTTTACCATGACCCCTATAAGGCCTCCACCCTTCTATCACTCATTCCAGGGTCCTTCCTCAGGAGCTCTTATAAAAGCCCAGTCTTTTCTGACTTGGCAAACCAAAGAACATCCAAAAAGAAAGGTAAGTAGCAGCCGAGAGATGAGATCCAGGGCAGTGATTTTACCTCACACATCGAGGGAAGGTATAGGAGGATGTCAATACTCAGAAAATATGGGCTCGGAGACTCAGCAAAGTGGTCCTAGGTAGTCTCAGGGACAGAATGTCATGGATCTGTGGGACACCCATGGTACTCAGATTTTGTTGATTATAATGCCATTCTCCAAAAAAAAGAACTTTTCTATGAAATGGTTGAATCAAGACCACCATTGTGAATATATAAAATGAGGCTATGCCAGAAATTATGGACATAATTGTAAAAATAAAAACATATTTTTGGTGTTGTGTGAATTGAATAAAAGCTCTAAATGAAGGAGATCCCAGAAGCCAATTGGAAGTATTTTACCAACAAAATAAATAAGGCATTATTGAATTGCAACTCAGTAGGAGTATGGATTCTGGAAAAGAAAATTATTGCAAATTCAGATACTGATTATATGACAAATTTCATACACAAATTTTAGGTTGTAGAAGCCCATATACAAACTGACACAACCCTACATTCTCACCCAAATTTGAGTGAGACTAGTTTTTAGGGAGAGAGGATAAAATATAATATTAGAGGATAGGGCATTTATCAAATGTGTAGAAATAGAAACCTGCACTCCCTGGAAGAAATGAAATGATGGAAGTTTTGATGGGATAAAATGGATAAGCAGGGAGAAGAACTAGAAACTGCCTGACAATTTCTGTTCTCAATTTCCATGGAGAAATGTACATTTCTAAATGTACATTATATGTACATTTAAAATTATCCAGAACCAACTGATCATGAATGAAGACTTTAAATACCACAAATTATCCTCTGTGAGAAGTTCCTCTGGAACTTAAGCATGGCTCTAGGGGTTGATTAACTCAAATTCTACCAACAAAACTTCTGACTTTTTATGGAAAACAGTGTATGCAATCCAAGGAAATGAATCCTTATTATAAAGAAGTCAATGGGGATTTCTTTTTTTTTTTTAAGATTTATTTATTTATGCATACAAGAGATGGGGTACAGGCCAGAGGTGTGTGGGGGTGAGGGTGAGAGGATTCACCAGGATTCACCAGAGACAGAATGGGGAACAGGACAGGCAGACTAACCAAAACACACTACTGAGTGGAGCAGTGGGCGAGACAGGAGAGGTCTACTGCACCATGTGTGTAGCTCCCTGGTGGGCTGGGGATTGAACTCGTGCTGCAGAGGCTTCAGATTGCTTCATAGTGCAGTGCTTAACCCCTTGCTTCACCAGGGAGGCCCCTCAATGGGAATTTCAATCCAATTCCTTTCCTGATTACTGATGGGAGGTTAGAACTGCAACCCAACTTGTATCAAGGATATGTGAGATTAAATCTACTAAGGGCTGGTGTGGAAACTTCTGCTCCATAATAAAATTGTATGGAAAAGAAGCCTTACTTACTTTCTTTTCTTCTTTAGTGCATTGGAAATGATCAGATAAAGCTTGGGCAATGGTGTTATTTTGTGTCAATGAGGGAAAGGCCAAGATAATCATG